CGTTCGTCCCGCCGGGCCTCGGGATGGCAGCATCGGCGCTGCTCGGTGCCAGGAATGGCGCCACAGCTCCCCGAGATGTCCAACTGCTCCAGCGCCGTCTGCACCTGGAGGAGTTTCAGCTCCTGCAGGGCACCCATCATGCAGTTCATCTGCTGCTGCAGCCCGTCCCCCACCTCCTTCATGGAGAGCTGCAGAGGGAAGGAAGCAAACAGGGAGTCAGTGTCACTGAGAGCTGGAAAACTGTGACTGAAAGGCACAGAGCTGGGCCGAGCAGCTTCCAAAACATTGCCTCATCCTTCTGACTGCGCTTCAGGTGCACCCTACCTGTGCTACATCCATTGCATGGGATGGCAATTGGATTTTTCTCAGATTTTTCTAGGAGTTTCCCTCTACCAACAATAGGAGCTGCCAGGAGGAGTGGAGTTTTTGACCTGACAACAAAAATAAATAGTTCTGAGTTTCCATTAATTGCCTGGCAGAAACCCAAGGTGCAGAACTATGAATGGTTTTGGCTGCTGCCAGTTTCAGCGTATTCTTCTGCTTTTGTGTCTTTTGTGCCCTGTAACCAACTGGAATCAGTTAGTCAGAATAATCTGAACTGAAATCAGGAGTCAGAATAATGAACAGAAGTGTCTTACACGGAGAACCTCATTTCTTCATCTACAGTAAATTAAAATTAAACCCCAACAAGGATCACGCTGTTACCGTATAACGTCTGCAGATCTTAATACCCTCGTTACAGGCACCTCTCACTGGAGGACAATCAAAGACATTTCAATGCACTTGAAATTTTGTACAAAGCGACGAACAAACTCTAAAATTACTTACATTAAACTAACAATCTCTTGGATTCCCAAGCTTAAGACCTTCAGTAGTTCTGCTTTATCCCCAAACCTTGCTATAACAATTTAAATTTCTATACCAGACTTAAAATAAGCGAGTTATTTCCCAGAGCTTCTAAACTCCCCCTTCTGCTCTTTCGCTCTGCTGCTCTCCCTCTCTCGTGTAGGATCTGGATCATATTCCCAGAGCAGCACCATAAAACAAATGGGCTCCACTTTCCGACAGCTGCCACTTCTTTTTATTAGCGAGGGGCGCGGGTCCGGGCAGGAGGGGGCAGAGCAGCGGGGACAGGGACGGCAGGGCCGGGGGTGCAGACGTGTGGCGGCGATGGGAGCTGCTTTGCAGAGGAGGTTCCCCCTGGTGAGGAACGGCTGCAGCCTGCACTGCCAGAAACGCTTTAAAAGGCTCCTCACTAATTTTGTACAGCAACAGAGCTCAAGCTCAGGGTGAAAAAAGGCATGCATCTTATGTTCAGTGTCGCTTTATCAAGCTCTACTTTTTAACCTCTATTTTAACTAAATTAGTGCAATTACTTGCTGCATTTCCATTTCCATACCTGGATCTGACCAGTGAGAAAGAGCAGTCATCAGAAATCTGGATCCTCTGTAACAACCTGGCTCCATACATGAGCAGAAAGCTCCTCAACAGTTTCTGACCACAAATCTCCATTTCAAGACCCAGAACCCAAAACTACCCAGCAGACTACAATGATTCTTCAGAGCTTCACTCCCAAAAAACTCGTTTATCACCCGGAATGAGCAGACAAGCTACAAAATACAGAAAATCTGCGTTTAGCTTCCTGATTATACCATCAAGTGTCTCCAGCTCTCTCATTTTTTACCATCAGCAAATAACCCTGCACTTCTGCAGACACTGAACTACTGCCCCGCGCACAGCCTACCCCGGCGCTCGGGCTACCCCCCACAAGCGGGGCCATATGCTCCAGCAGCCTCAGACAAAACTATCACCTTACCTCTCCAGATCTGCTGTAACGCTGCTCCTAACCTTTCTCGCCTTATTACTGCCAGGCTGTTTTATCTGGGGCTTTGCAAAAAGCTGGATTTGGAGCCAGCCCGGCCCCTCATTGGCTGCTGCCCACCAAATCCCCTGGGCGCGGGGCTGTAATCACGGCACAGCAGTGACAAGGTCCCGCGGTAATGACCGGGCTCATCAACCCTCAGCATATGCTGGGCGGCTCCGCTCCTCACCTCATTGATTCAATTAACTCCCCGTGATGGGTGGCATCGTTACAAAACCTCATCCAGCACGGCTCTATTCAGCATTAACGTTTCAGAGCAGTGTTTATCGGCAGCGTGGTCATTTCTCGCAGCAGAGCCAGTCTCCCCACAACAAGAAAAGAGCCCCAAAAGCTCAGACCCAGCACTTTTCCATCTGAATAAATGAGCTGGTTCTGCCAAACCTGGCACCAGCCCTGGCCTGGGGAGCCCGAGCCACTGGAGGAGGAGCAGAGATGGTTTCACCCATGGAAACACCTTCCTATAAGTGACTATGACGTTTGGATGCTTCTCCCCTGACACAAGGGCTGAGCTGTGCCCCTCGCAGCAGAGGGGGCGAAATGGGCACTTCTGGGACATGATTTGCCTGGTCTCAGCAATCTGCTTTGGGGTGGGACAACTCCTGCCCTTCGGCCTTGGTGTCCCTCTGGCAACGTGAATCCCACCATCAGCAAGAGAGCTTTAAAGATCCTGAGGCTTTCAACTCTGCTTGCAAACGCTGCCAAAACTTTGGGTTGTGCAAGTTAAAAGCCAAAGCAAATAAACCCTTTGCTTTATCTTTTGCTGCTCGTGGTATCTGCTCAGCCTTTTACAGAACTGAGGAGGCAGTGAAACCTGGCCCACGGTGAAGTCACTGGTGACAAACAGCCTGCAGGGGCTTGGATTTCATCCACAGGTAATTACCCTGTGGTAATTAAGAGGACTCACCCTGGAGAGGAAAAAAAACCCAACAACTTTCTTCCCCATGTCTAACAGCCGCTCTCTCTTTGCCAAGATCTCAGTTCTTCCAAGTCCAGACTGGCTCCTCCCAGATCCTCCTGAGAAAGATCCATCTCCTGCAGGAGAGAGACCTTGTCCTGGTTTGAGCTAAATAAGAACTAATTTTCTATTTAGTGATTTTACTTTTCAGCTCAGTCTCTTCTAAGTGGCTGAACTTGCTGAAAACTAGGAGCATGTTTTTCCAGTATGTGCTGCTACAACGATAAGCTCAAGGCCAAGTGTCTCACCTTGGGTGCCATGTCTGTGCCTACAGGGGGGAAAGCGGACCCAAACCCACCCAACGAGGTATTCCATCCCACACACGCCAGACTCAGTGTAAAGCCAAGGGATCACAAGGGTCTCAACCCTTCCATCTTGGACCCTTCCTTCCCTCTCCACCCCTGCAATGGCCCAAGTCTGCCTCTGATCCTGATCCCTGTGTTCCTGCATCAGCTCCCACTGCTGCTGGGTTCGCACTGGGACTTTTCCGGTGCTCCCAGAGCCTCTGGAGACGTCATTGTCATTGGGGGAGGATTTTAGATTGGTTTTGTATATATATTTGTACATATCTGTACATATTTCACTAATTTCCTATTTACATTATGATTCTGTAGTATCAGTATTATTGTTTTATTAAACCTGTTAGTTTTATTTTCCAACCCATAAAGTCTCTCTCCCTTATTTTCTTTTCCCTTTTGGGGAGGGGAGAGGACAGAGAGAGTGTCTGTCCTGGATTTAGTGGCCAGCCCAGCCCTAAACCATGGCAAAGGCTCGGGGTGAACTATCCAGGCTGTGAGAGGAACAAGGGTTTCGGTGAACAATCCAGCAGATTGGGCTGGAAGTCAAGGGGATGCTCTGAATGCAAGGCAGGGGGACCTCAGGCTGAAGGGATGGCCCCGCGGGCTCTGTGGTCACACACTTCACGTGGAAGGTACTGGAATTTGTGATGAACTGAAGCACAGTTTCAAGCAGAGCGTGAATGTGACATGAAACCCCAGAGAGCCTTCGTTTGGCGTGGAGAGAGACCCTGCCCCCTTGCTGGGTTATGCAAGGGACATTATGTAAGCGGCCACCACGGGGCATCAGGAGATGCTCTGCTGTGTGCGTTCGTGAGCTGCAGACCCAAACCTGTTAGAGCAGCCCTGTGCGCAGCCAAGGTGCAGAGCAGAGCAGGGGAAGCAGCATCGGTGCAGAGCTTGGGGTCGAGCACAGACCCCGCTCCTCAGCATCCCCTTCCCGAGCCTCCTGGTGTCTGCTTGGGGTGCACGAATCCATCAGTGATTCAAGGGACTCTGCGTGCTGAATTTGAGACACTTCATGCTTCAATACAAGTGGCAGTTTGGCATCTCTGCTTCCAAAAGCAGCCAAATTAGAACTATGACAACTTACAGATGTTCAAATTCATCTCTGTAAAACAGTCAAAGATCAGATGCCTCAAAATGCATCTTGTCATTATTCCCGAAACTTTCGCAGTCCCTAAAATCTGGCACAAGAAAGGTTTTAGTCTGGTTCTGAACATGCCAACACAGATACTTTCTATGGCAAGACAAGTACCTGCAGGGCTGAGCGCGGCTGTGACGCCGGTGCTCTGCTTCATGGCTGGGGCTCGGGGTGCGATGCCCAACATTTCCTTCCCCAGCAGCACAGTGTTACCCCACACCATCCTCGAGCACCTCAAGGTGTTACCCCCACATCATCCCTCAACACCCCAAGGTGTTACCCCCAGATCAACCCTCCTGCAAAGCAGTGACCAAGGCAGCTCAGGATGCGCTTCTCCAAAGCAAAGCTTCCTTAGGCTACACTCACCCGGAACATGGAAAACTGATGTGCAAAATTCAAAAGCTTTTCAAGCACTTTCAAATGATCATCAAGGAAAATTCAATGTGACAGGAAAAAAAACCCCACAGACCAACAGTAAGCATCTTACAAAGCCACCAGAGTTCAAATATGTTTAGTTTTGTTGGGTTTTTTCATTGAGAAACTACTTTTTTGAGTGGCAAAGGCATCGCTCACTTTAAGCCATGCCTTTTTAATGATTTCCTCAAAATACTTATTCCCAGGACTACAACCACAATTGGTTTACACAGTTTATAAATCAATGATCTTCCACCACTGATTAACACAGCAGGAGCACAACCTACCCAAGGAGCATCATCCAGCACCTCATCAAATTCAAACCCAAACACTTGAGGTGTACAAATAAAGAGATTTCCCTTGTCGTTTCCCACTTCACAGGTAAATCAGTAACTTTTTTAACCTGCTCTGGGTGCTCTTTCAGCACAGGGAACTGAAATGAGGAGCTCTTGAGTGTTTGTCATAATGAAGAGGAAGACAGATGTCCAGCTCTCGGG